GCGATAAAACTACCAAATTTGCAAGTAAACAAGTCGCTTGAACATGTCTGGTAACTTTGTCTGGTTAACTTGGTGATGAGGCTTTTCCGAGTTCAGTGGACTCAAAACAAGCGTACCCGTATTTTTCCACTCTTTTCCCAAAAATATACTCATTTTCCAAGTCCATTCTTAGGAGAATCTCATTCAGTAATATTTGACAACAGCTTTAGGGGGCTCACGTTTTCTTACTTGTATGCCATTCCAGTCATGACGTAAATAACACCATGCTTTCACATTGCTGTCAAAACTTAAGACAAAAAAAGCTGTAATCAAAGCCGTATGCAAACTTTCAGCACAGATTCAATGATATTCTTGCGACTCCCCAGGCCTTTTGAAGGTAGATTAGGCCCCTTTTCACAGACAGCTGTTGCTTTGAAGTAATTCTGTAGCGTGCAAGTCGTTTTTGAGGTGCAGCTGCAGAGTTCGCAATTTCTGCAATCCACGAGTTGCTGGTGACTTGGAGCCACATGCGCGGCGCGGGCGTGCGCACAGGATTGACAAAAAGAGCAAGGAGTGTAAAGCGCGCATCGGCCTTTGTTTACAAAGGGGTTTTTGAACATGTACTAAGTCTGCAAGACATTTGATCAGTAGCAGTCTCAAAGTAAGGCACTAACGAAATTCAACTGTTCTTGACTGCCACTATCTGAATAATTTTGATCACTGTAAAATGCAAAAGAATGGCTTGCAGAAACATGACAATATTTATAAATACGAAATACGATGTAAGCACTCCAGTGGACTCTAGACAGATAAACAAAACGATATCGTACATCATTCGTGAACATGCAAGTGAAACTTTCGTTAAATTGCGATTACTGAATACACGTATTTTTCGACGCGACGAAAGTCAAAGATAGACATAGTTTGCAAATTGGCTGTGAACAGTCCCCTTTTGAAGGCAATCAGTTTCTTCATGAGAGACAAAAGCAGCACTAACTTAGATATTCTGCCTTCTTGTCACAGTTAATGGTAAATGGCCAGAAGAGAACCACACCAAAAACATGGTAAAGCTAATTGATAGGAGTTACTCTATTGGTTGAAACTTTTGAACCTAAATTCCTGGATATTGAGATAATCCCCGAGAGAAACAAATTTAGATTCAAAGGTTCCAACCAACGCAGACTAAGAACTTCTTGTACAATAACTTTTAGATGCGAGATTTTCTCAAACTCCGCTACTATGATCAATATGATTAGATATGAACATTAACATCATAATGATGTCTATTATTAATCTATTGTTCTGCTTATTATTATTGATTATTGCGATTATTGATGATTTTCAAACTAAGCGTTTACTCCAAAATATGTTGAATATGATGCATTCGCAGAGAAATTACAAAAATTTGAACTCAGCAAATGCGAAACAGTCAACGGGAACACGAAACGGACTTTGCGAACGATCAATGTCGATTTTCATGAGTCATTTGTTGAAAACATGGTGATTGTCCTTTGTGCACCATTGCAATAGAAACCATCAATTATGTGGAATCGATTTTGTTGTTTTGGGCCGTAGGGATGTGCGAAACGCACCGGTTTTTACATTTCAAGCCCGAGATTTCCGTTTGTTCAAGCACTTGTCACTGAGGAAAACTCCGATGCTATTTTGTACCAATATCATTTATAATGATTACTACTGCGAATTCGTCATTTCATCTATTTTACTAAATTATCATCTATTCCTTACTATAAACTTGTCGACCGAGTAGATTTGTGTAAGCCGCGCTTACCAACTTTGCCTATTTTCCCTGTGATGCTCTAAGCCTCTTTCGAATCCGTTTTTCTCTATGAAATCATGAAAACATCGCAGAGTTATATTATTCGATCCATCACTGCTGAGCTCCTGGTGAAAACAAATGAGACTCGCAAGTTCGATAAATTAACTACTGATCTCGACCGAGGAGCGAAAACTCTCGTTATTACTACCTCAGCTCTTGTCATTTTGATTAACTTCAAAGCAAGGTGAATGACTTGAAATACGGCCAGCTGCTGGAGATCAAGTGATTGTACAAAAAGCCAGAAAATGGCACAATCATATACCATTTTGTTTGAATTGTCTATATCAAAGAACAGTTAAATCACCTAAAGATTCGGTACCTTCTCAGAATCAACATGCATCCAAGAAAGCTACGAAATCGACCTACATAGAAATTCAGTGAAAATCTGTAGCTGCTGTTATCTAAATTCTATACCTTTTCGTCATCCGGACTTTTTATAAAGAGGAATATCACTATTTCCTTTCACTACATTGAGTACCTTCACAGTATAAAATGTCGACCTTCTGCCACGTGTCAAGAATATACGGTTTTTACATGTCTACTACAGTTGTAACGAACGGAAATTCTCGTCGAAGAAATGTATACCGAATAAAAACTTTCGAATGAACGAAATATTTCCGATTTCCATAATATTCGAATTTGAATATTCGAATATACGAACAACTGTTGTTCGAAACCTTCTCGAATATTCGAATATTTCTTCTAGAATTCCTCGACTATTTGAGTACTGAGTACTAAGCCATTTTTCCAATTTGTCGAATGAATGAATTATTCGGAAATGGGACTTTTCATCTATGTGACTATTCGAATAATCGAATAAATCGACTTTTTCGAATATTCAACTAATTATAGTAATGTCATGCTGTTTTTGATTGAACAAATAAACATATTAGACTTTCCAGAAGAAAAGCGCGTTAACCATCATTCAAGCAGCATAAGCGGCAACGAGGTTCTTCAAATATCATTTGGATCCTTTCCTGCTAAAATAGATTGGCAAAAGCCGTTCGAAGAAAAAGTAATATTTGAATCATTGCTGGAAGCAAACAAGATGTTCTGTCAAACATTTTGAACGGCTTTTCTCATGAAAAAACAGCTGAGCACTCTCCAGCCATCTCACAAGGGAGCAATACCAAATTGCAACGGCGTCCTGCTGGGATGGCATCATCATGGTCCCCTCGAGACACTGATAACATCAATTCCCAAATCTGCAAAACAGTTTTGTGGAAGAAGTTATGGACTCCTAGATTTACAGCCTTTGCCTTGTCTACAGAAAGATTGACTACAACTACATAATAAATAAAGCACCGCGTGGCAGAAAAGTGTTTTAAAGCGCAATCATACAGAATTTACTGATACCGCTATTTTAAACGATTTCAAACAAAATATGAGAACTTGCAAAAACACAAAAGCGATGGGTGAGCCCAGCGAACCCTGGTACTACATATATCTGAAACCTAACTCCTCTCCTTGCGCTACCAACTTCGTATTGACAGAGCAACATTAACCGAGTCACTCTTCGATTGCAGATTGACAGAACTTGTAGATCCAGAGGTTCGTAACTTTTTTCACGAAAACGTTTCACAGATTTGGAAAGCAGATATCTTATTAGTGTCCCGAAGGGACCTTAATAATGTAGTTCTCATGATGAACGGCTGTGCGACTCGATTATTTCCTGTTTATCTGTAGGTGCTCTCCTATCTCACCGAAAATACTAAAATATATTTCAAATTGACGTGTTGATTTTTCATGGATACATGGCAGATAGACAATCCTCCTGGAGTTATAAAATTTCTTTTAGACAAGCACCTGTCCGAAGCTCTTCGAAAAAATGGGTCCAGATAGCGGAAAGTATCGTCAAATCTACTAAGTACGAGTGAAATCCCTCAGTACAATGAAGTCCCCATAAGCTTTGGAGACAAGGGCTCGGGAAAATTGCGACAGCGAGCTTTTCACACTTACATGGCCTTCTGAATCCGCTGAGTCCGAGACTGTGCTTGGAATGTCCAAAAGTACTTGGGGTTTTCCGGCATTGGAGATTGCTGAGAGGATTGAACGAGCAATTCCCGCCAAAAACAGCGTCTGGCTGCAGGATACTGTAACTCTACCCTTTTTGGTGGCAATTGAGTGATCGGTTCAAGCAGCCAATCGCGACTCAGTTGACGATCGCTCGCCCATTCCCTCCAGCAATCTCCAAGACCTGAAAACGCTATGAAAAGCATTTTCTCGACTTTTCAAGCACAGTTTTGGACTAAGGTATCTAGAATGCCAAGGACGGATGGAAAGCTCGTAATTACAATTTTCCCGAGCCACTGCCTTCAATGTAATTTCGTCCGCGCCTGTAAAAAATTTTTTATCACTAACAAGATAACCCATATATGTACGTTTCTGCTTGGAATCAACGTCTAAATGTTGTTTTCTCAAACGTGGTAGTGCAGAGCAGTATTCTGGATCAAAATCCAATATTATTCGGAAGACCGTTATTCAAGTATTTCCCCCACAATTCCGCTCATCCAAGGGGATGTACCTATATGCATAGGAACCCAACCGTACAACTTGCTCTATTTATATAAAAATGAATATTCAAAGAGTGTCCGTAGCAGATCATAATCACTTCACTTGATTACTAGTCAAAGTGGCTTAGGAAATTGCATACATTTTGAAGAGCGTCAAACGAATTCCAAATATGCCTTCCTTATCTGCGGAGCACCTCTGGAATTACGAGCTGAACGCGCAGAGGATGAAATTGGTCGTAAGAGTCTGTACAACTCTCTACAAAAAGGGTATAACAGACAGTATTTTTTGCACATAGTGGTATGGCAGACATCATTGCTTCATTTGTCATGAGAGACTTTTGTAATGATTATTCTTCCCATGACTTTAACTTTTCGCCACGAAAGCTTTTCATAACTCCATCCCAGGAGCTCCGCAAATAAGAGAACAGATTTAAAGGAGTGTGTTCGATGCCCTTCAGAAGTATATGCATATCATCTGGAAAGACCACTTCGACCAATTCCTTCCCTCGTCAGACCTCAATATTACATTCATATTCTCAGACATTTCGGATGAGTGCAAAAACTAATCCAAAAACACGCCGGAATCAGATGCTCTTTCGTAAAGTTTCCGAAGAGTAGAATTAACGGCAGTATGAGGCAGTCATACCCTAAAAAGAAATAGGTAAAGTTATGACTTATATAAATATTTATTAAACAGCAAATGTACTCGAACAATGCACAGGGTATGAAATCTACACAACGGATCTCTGGTGTACCGGGGAAGCGTCGCTTAACCGGGCAGTATTCAAGGTGGTAAACAAAACGAGACTTACAAAACTGAAGAAAAGAGACAAAGAGAACTTGTTCAGAAAGCATACATACAACTAGAAACATATAAAAATATACTGTATTTGTGATGTTGAGTGTGCACGACGACAAAACCCAGATGATGATCGATAGAGAAAATTCAGGGGCGGGTACTGTACAGCGAGAAACCTAGACGAAAAACTGCGAAATTTATGCGGCGCGCGCGAAAGTGTTCAGTTGAAAGGGGTTTGTTTAGTCAGTGTTTGACACTGAGCGTTCGATGGGTCACGAAGGGCATAGTGGTAGCTTTAGCGGTGAAAGTACGAGATTGACTAACTGTTACTGGTACTGGTGGAAGTGTATTAGCTAGTTGGAGGAGATAGTACAGTACATACAGCCGAGACTCTGTGAACTGTTGAAAGAAAGAGGTGACGGACTGGGATTTGTTGTACTGGGATGAGATGATGACGTCAGCAGACGAAATCACAATGGGTGTCGAGATTGAAATTTTGCTGGGATTGGCTATGTTGGGGTTCGGATCGCTTGGCGACCACAAGGGGTGGGGTAGGGACGTGCGCAAAGGGGACGGGAGAGAGAGTTGGGATCTCAAAAACACACTAAAGCGAAGGAACACAAACAATAAGAAGATTAGCCCGAAAACGTACCAGTCTAAAGGATGATTTTCTAAAACTTACCAGTTGCTCTTCACCAAAAATGATTTGACTTGGAATGTGCTAAAAAGACGTAACGGTAGCGACGCTAGATGATTCCGCAGTTGTGCGGCAAAGCATTGACAAAGTTACGGTACATTTTCGAGCAAATGAGACGAACACACTGTCGTGGATAGACGTCAAGGCGATTCTGTGGTGTGTAAGCACATCATGGAGTGATGAGGATTAGGATGAAGGGATGAATGAGGAGGAAGAGGATGCTACCCTGCTGGCTTATCGAATCTCACCGCGCCATAGAAGGCGACGGTTTAGGTTGGCCGAACTCGATCCTACAAAAAATACTGGCAAAATTGAGACAAAGTGTTTGAGAGTGAGAGAGATTTACAAAGGAAAAGGAAACCGACAGATACGCAATTGTGTCTAGATCGTCTGATTCGGGCCTTACCAAAAAACAAACATAATACAAACGTGTAAACAATCAATAACTACGCAAAACAATAAAACTTGTCACCTATTCAACACACAATACGTTGCGAATTCTCGTAATTATTCGAATACCGTGATGAAGTAGGGATGTGGGCGACGGGGAGCAAAGGATGTGCATGGAGCACTGCATTATATCATGTGGGTCAACCTACATGCTCAACTAGGAAGGGTGCTTGGGGTGGGGTATGTTTGTGTATGTGATGAGAAATCCCGTCTCTGACGTTTCACGCGTGGTTGGACTCCAGGAGTCCGGGAAAGATCTGGGTACCATGTGTGTGTTTATTTATGTACGCGGTGGGGGCGTGGCCCTGGTATCGTGTCTGACAATCGATAATCGATTCGGCAGACGACGACATGAAACTAAACGGACGAATACGGAAGTCGCGACACGAACTAGTACGGTTTCATTTGGTTGATTATACTAGACGAGAACTGCTGGTGTGTGCTGGCCGTCGAGCCGCCTTGCTGGGTGTAACGCTGGATGTTCTCGAGCGGCGTGATCATGTTGAATCTAAAAGGATCGCAGTATTGCTGCTATTTGAAATTTTCCATTGCAAATTCAAAACTCTCGAGATTGTTATCCAAGAAATGCTATTAATGTTCGATGCTTTGCATTATATATCTCACTGCAAAAAAATTTAGACTTTTATTTCCTACTTGACGGCTTTTAATTACATAAATCTGGAAGTTTTGACTAGCCAAAAAAGTCTCAGACAATCGACGGGACCCCTCCGCCGGACCCTCGGAAACTGCCAGAGTCGCGCCGGACCCAGTTGACCAATGAGAGAAGGGCAAATGGGCGGTCCATCGCGGTGGCATCACTGGCAGGCAAATGGGAGGCTTCTCCGGCCCTGCTGCAAAGGTCCGCCATTTCTCCGGCGCGACTCTGCCAGATTTGACGGACTCCGCGCCGCAGAAATCTGCGCGGCGCGTGTCCGCCAAATTTGGAAGAGCCGCGCCGGAGAAAATGGGAGGGGTCCGGAGCAGAAATGGGAGGCCTCCGGAGCAGAAAATGGGAGGTATCCGGAGCAGAAAATGGGAGGTGTCCGGAGCAGAAAATGGGAGGTATCCGCCGGAGAAATGGGAGGTATCCGCCGGAGAAATGGGAGGTATCCGGAGCAGGCTGCGTATCGATTTGGCGCGTAGCAAGCAAACGTCTAACTCCACGGTGATGAGTCCTCTGTTTACGCTCTTTGTCCATATTTTAGTCGCCGTTTCTTTGATTCTGTTGTTTTTGCGCGTTTCTTTACCGTTTTTCCTTTTCCGCGTTGCTCTTCGTCGCGTTGGCGTTTATGTTGCTGTAAGTTCCTCGTTTTCAGGTTTATGTTTGAAATTTTCGTGCGGTTGCACTCAATCACCTTCAGTGTTTGGCTCTTTCCGACTTGCTGAGACATCGTAGACTATTGATGGAGTGGTTTTTGTGATTAATTCTGGATTTTCGAAACAATGAGGTTAGTTGCACAACTATCTAGTGTTGTTACACAATCGGCTGCGCGGGCGGTCGCATCGCGCATCCACTCTGTGTGCTTGGGTCACGCTTGCTGGGACTCATCATTTTCGAGTCAGATAGCAGGATAGAATGACATTTATGTCACATAACCACTTCATGCATACTTCCATAAATCCACTCTATTGGCGAGAAGAGTTCTGCGTCCTCCTATCTGACACTGTCATCGGCTTGAAGATTGAGAATGGTTCATACATTTCTGCAAGAAAGTTCGAATAGTGATTGTGACCAACCCCACGGCGCATCTGTGTGCTCTTCTGTTCTTGCTTTCTTTTGACAAGTTATTTGCCCAACTAAGGCTAAGCTGTGCCAGTGAAAAACGTGTTTGAAAAAGCAAGAATGGATGTTTGGCATGCCCTAAGGTTTGCTTTTGGATTTACGTTATCGCTAATGATCTTTTACACCTCAAAAGGCAAAGAAGGAAAAGAATATTTGGTTTTTGTTATTGTTTTTTGCTCCTCCTTTGCTGCTGATTTTTGCTCAAGTAAGCTCCTTCTGGTCTCAGAGCACTATTCATATTAGCGTTGCTTGTTTTGTTGGAACGCTATTTTTGATGGGATCATCGTGCTCTGAGGCTGAGTTTGATACGACGTGCACATTCTTGAAGCTGGTATCATGTTTTGTTTCAAAGATAAGCATAATCTGTTCTGAAACTAGGAGACTCGAATACGCACTATAACGCCCGCGGTTCCGAGGTGTAAATTGGGGTTTTAGGTTTTGAGGTTTCCGAGGTTTATTCGCGCTTCACAGCACTGCACATATTGTCTCAACAAGCTTTTGTAGGTACTCGTTCCTCCCTACTTCAGAGTAGCAAATAGATAGATCACAAGTGTAAAGTTGCTAATCACACAATCAAACTTGTTTAGACAGTATGTGCAAAGCGTGCCCGAGTCTTTTAGTCTTAGAATATGTGATCATCTTCTCTGTGAATCAAATACAGAAATACGGTCACACGTTGCCTGACAGCTGATGACTGTGTCTTTCGAACTCCAAGTGCAGTGATTCAAGAGGAGATGAAGCACATACACTAATTCGTTAGTTAAATGTGCAAAGCATACTCGAGTATCCTTCAATCAAAGAAGGACAAATTCAGATATAACAGATCCGTTGGCCAGGTGAATGCAATTGAAAACTTTCAGTGAACATTCGCTTATACGGAAGTATAGAAAAATTATTGAGACGTCAAAGTTTCCAATGGCTTGATTCCCTTGGACATCGCATTCACCCAGACTTCGCATCCGATTCGGCACTTCTCCGTACTTGGTTTGCCTTATGTGCACCTGCCGATTGAGCTGAATTGAAGCATCACATCCTAACCCACAAACCGAAAATCCTGCACGGGTTGAGTAATCGAGAGGCTGAAAGGTGATTCTAAAAAGCAGTGCAGGTGCAGTTGGGAAATCAAACTCGGAGTAAAAATCGTTTCTGAATGACTTCTATTCTGAATGACTGTGAAATATTCCTTCCTGGGCGCGATCTGAACAAGCGTGACCCAAGCACACAAAGTGGATACGCGACGCGACCGCTCGCGCAGCCGGCTGTGTAGTTTTAAATGGGGCCTGCCGATGGAAGCACTGACTCGACTGTAACGTATGCCGAATCACTTATATCAAGGTTTCACGAACGGAATGTTGGTTTTCGAATACGTAGTGGCACGGAAAGTGGAGGTACCTCAAGTTTTGTCGTTTTTATAGTAATAATAGACGAAACGGCTTTCGCATCAAGTCTTTTCATCTTGGTAGGTGTCGGCTTTGCGAAGAACCAAGCGGTAAAAATGTCTTCTGGACGGTTTATCTCTTTCTGTGATGCGGATGATGTTTCGGAGCCAAGCAGATTACAGGAACAGTACAACTTGGCGATTTCTCAGAGGAGCGATTTGGTTTTTATTGGTGAGCTTGTCCAAATTCAACTTTCTTCGTCTTGAATAAGGGTCTTCTAATAAGCACAATCTCTTATGTGACCTCGGCAAATTCTTGAGATTTCGCATAAAACCCGTTTATCCCATTACAACCTTGATTTATTTTTTCTTGTTAGATGTTGTACAGCTGTATCACTTTGCCCATTGCGTAGGTAGTAACTTCACCAGAATACCGGAAGGATCCACTGAACGCTATACTAAATGGACCCATGATTTGACAAACGAAGAATTGAAATTGCAGGTATAATCTCGGATCGTACAATCTTGTTGTTGCCCATCGGTGCTGAATGTGCTTCTACTTTAGGTGTATACGTCGCATGGGCCCACTCTTATAGCTCCTACATGGTTCATCTCAAGAAAACTCTTTTCTGCGGTAGGCGGTTTCAAAGACGACGTGCGCTTTGGGTTTCCCGAAGATCTCGATTTTTTCTACCGTGCATTAGACATCGATGATGTTGCATTCTCTAAAGTACGTTATTTGCAAATCCGTAACGCATATATATTGCTTTCGTCTCTTCAGGTATGTAAACCCCTAGTGAACTATCGTTCACTCCGGATGTGCTTCTTTTGGTGTTTCCGAAGCTGCTATATGGAACATGCGTGTTAGTCGCTTCTGCAGTCATGTGCTTCCTTTCTGGAAAACATTCACAATTTGGAATGCTGGCAAACAAGGAAAGCGATTTTTCAAGTGAGGTGGAATCTGCGCTCTTACATTCCCAAAGGTGAGTCAGTTTCGAGGTCCCTTTCCGAAAGTGATAAACAACGCGTTGTATCGTTTTGCGATGTCGACGTGAAGAAGATCAAACGAGCATGGCTGGAGGATTATGACGAAAAAGCACGAGTAGTTCGGTGGAAACTACCCATTGTTCATGTGAAGTGAGTTAGCATTCTGAGTGATTTGTGGTCAAAGGCACCGATCACCCAAAATGGGGTCCATGAGATTTTGAAAATGATTTGGGGTCCGTGAGACGTTGAAAATTGAGCCAAAAAACATCTGGGCAGCAAATAGAATAGGTACGTTTCGTATCGGAACAAATGACTAATTTGCTACTTCTTTTTCGATCAAAAACCGTATGTTTTGGTTTAGGCTGCGTATTAGCATCGAAAGAATGTGGCAAGATGCCCGTGACATCTTCGCTCAAGTTCGTGAAGCTACCTCGGAATTCGAAGATGTTTGGATGAATATAGCTCATGTATATATCGAACTTGGACAATATATCCCTGCTTTGCAAATGTGAGTTTATGGCGCTCCTCGCTGTTTTGTTTCATGTTGCACAGAATGCTTTTTTGATCTTTTTGTCATTTTCTTACCATGTTAAAACCATATGTTTGTACTGTGGTGTTACAAGGTTCTTTTTGCAACTAGGAAATTAGCTTTTCTTTGAATATTCTTATCTCTAATTCCTAGTATGGTTTTTGTAATATGAATTAACTGTTGTACGTATGCTGGAGATAGATAGATAGATTTTTCGAAAGTTTGAAAAATTTGAAATAAATGTCTTATCTCTTCGTTCTTTCTTCTATCTTCTATCCACAAACGCTAGGGGTGAGAGGGAGGGGGTAGAGTACGGGGTGAGGGTCGCGCTAAACTCCTACCCGGGGGGGGGGGGGTCCTATTCGGCTTATTTGGGTGGGGTTAGAGACAAAATTGGAGTTTGGAGCTTAAAGGCAGCGTCCAGGCAAGTCTGGACCTATGGGTATTTTACATGGAAAGTACTTTTGGGGCCCTAACTAAGCCATTACCCAACCGGCAGCTCAAGTAGTGCTCTAACGCCTGAGATATTCTGCTCGAAACCGGACCCCGCGACCGTGTTTCGCATGGATTCATGGCGCAAAGCGCGGATCCTGGCGCGAAACTGCCATGAATCCATGCGAATACGTTCGCGGGGGGTCTGTTTCGAGGGGAATATCTTCGCCATTAGAGCACTACCTGAACTGCTGCTTCGGCAGTGCCTTAGTTAGGGCCCCAAAAATACTTTCCATGTAAAAGCCCCATAGGACCAGATCTGCCTGGAAGCTGCCTTTAATTAGGGCTAATTACAGTATGCCGCGATCGGGGGGCTCCGGCGCACAAAATCGGGGGGCTCCGGAGCAGAAAATGGGAGGTATCCGGAGCAGAAAATGGGGGGTATCCGGAGCAGAAAATGGGGGGTATCCGGAGCAGAAGATGGGAGGTCTCCGGAGCAGAAAATGGGGGGTATCCGGAGCAGAAATGGGAGGTCTCCGCCGGAGAAATGGGAGACCCACCGCTGGGGATACGCCGCGACCCTGCCATTTCTCCGGCGGAGGGGTCCTATCCGCTGTCTGAGGTAATCTTGACGATAAAGACCTTAAAGGCAGTGTCTGTGTAAGTCTTGGTAGGCTTTCTTAGACAGCATAGTTTGATTCATGTGTGCTCAAAATTAAGCTTCAAACTCGAACTCAAACCGTCCTTGCGAACCAATCACCGTTTTCGAGTTCGCTGAAAGTGCGGTCTGAATCCCAGGTTCAAATGATTTTCAGCCAAAGACAAATAATAGAATGCCACTTGCGCGACGGCTAATTGTTAGCTAAGGTCTCCATTAGTATTTACCCAGAGAAGTGTTCAAATTGGTCAAGACAGAACGTTTATTTATAAAGTTGCAGCCTGGCCTGACAGGACCTCGACTCCGGATTTCTCTCTTTTTGGGGCACTGCGAGACTGCTAAGTGCAGACTGGGTTTCATATGCATAAATAACAACTCTCCTTCGAAATGTTCATAGGATAGAGGTGCTGAAGCCAATCGCTCAAACCTACTTGTTGTCAGTCGGCCGAGAACTCCGCGTTAACATAGCGGCATTTGCTCTCTCATATCCGTTTTATTCTACATCTCTTATGCTCCAGAAGAAGCAATTTCAATACTTTTAGAAACTCTGAACCGTTGTTCGAACGAACTCTACAAAGCCCAGCACGAAAAAAATCTGATGTTGACCATTTGCGCAGACACTACCTCTGTTTTCTAACTTTTCACTATCATAAGCGATTATGTGGAAAAATCACAACATCAGTTTTGCAAATCAAGGCCAAAAATCATGTCTAAAAGATGAATAGCTGAAGTTCCAGAATTACTTCGTTGTCTTGCCCTACATCCAAACACTGTGAACCAGACGTTAAACGACGAAGGCATCCCCCCCCATTCAAGTTGTGGATGATGAGTTATTGCTACATAGTAGCGGAACCGCTAATCAAGCAATCGCCCATGTCTCGCTCAAAATATGAATTCGAAGCGAGAAAAAGAAGGTAGCGGCCACGCTAGCTCCGCCCAACAACTGGGTGTCTGAATAACAAGTACAAACTCGGTCTTTATATTCAGAATCGTCATCAAATCGCAATCCATTATGATCATCAAACTTGCGACCTTCCTAATCACTTTAAAACCCAAAAAGGACTTGTATCTTCGTACCACCAAGTTGATGGGCGGAGCCAACATGGACGCTTTTACCTTCTGGAGTGGTTTTCTCGCGTCGCAGTACACATTTTGAAGCGAGATTTAGGCGATTGCTTAGCTGGACGCCCCGCTACTATATATTATCAAAATCTCAACACTCACAATTTAAGTGCGCGGTGCCTTCAAGTCTATCCCAAACATGCACTCATTCAGGCATGATCTGCCTCACACCAAACATAAAATAATCCTCCCTACAAAAATTGGAAATTCGCTAATAAGCGCAACTTACCCAGGCCGATCGCTGGCCTTCGTATTGGCCGGGTAATCGAAATTGTACCGCGGGGCGGCCGCGGTGGCGGCGGCATTGGCGTTCCGTTGGAAGTTCAGAAGCTGTGTGAAGGCGCTATTCTGTAGAGCCGGATTATTGTACGGATTTCCATGATTGGCCACCGCTTGCGACATCATCGCTTGGTTAGCGAAATGATCTAAATCAGGAAGAGATTTGTGATAATATATGCAAAGGTGCAACTATGCGCCCTACTTAACAGGCGTTTCCCAAATTTGAGTTGACATCCTATTCTCCTAGGGGTAAAATCCACTCAGATCAAGACACGCATGAGTGAAAGTAACAGTGTTGCTTGATCGACTTGACTTACACCCCTTTAAAAAGTTGAGATGTGACTCACTCTGCGCTTGAAAATACTCAGACAATCGGTGCCGTAGTCGCGCCAGACAGTCGAAATCTGGCAGAGCCGCGGCGGACCCAATTGACCAATGAGAGCGGGGCAAGGGGGCGGTCCCTTCTTGTAGGTCACGGTGACGTCACCGGCAGGCAAGTGGGACCCTTCTCCGGATCTGCTCCAAAGGTACGCCATTTCTGCTCCGGAGGTACGCCAGATTTGGCAGAGCCGCGGCGGAGAGATTTGCCCGCCGCGAGTACGCCAGATTTGGGAAACCTCCGGAGCAGAAAATGAGGGCTCCGGAGCACAAATGGGAGGTCTCCGGAGCACAAATGGGAGGGCTCCGGAGCACGAGTGGCAATTACCCGCTAAGGAAACCCCGCGGCTTGGCCATTTCTGCTCCGGAGGTATGCCGTCGACTGAGTACTTGCCGAACCATCATTCATATTCTCACAACGAGTGAATATATTAACACCGCGAAATCGCGCGCGGCCAAAATAGTGTACTTTTGGCCGCTAGCTAACAAAGAGACCTTATTTCTTAGACTGTGTGCTACATCTGTGATCACATGTCAGATAAGCATGTCAGATACCCAAAGTTTTGAGTGAATACGAAGTGTTTGAATTTTGACGCTTAAAAAGGATTTCTGTGCTTTCTTGAGAGATAGGAATAAGAACTTAATTTCTAATAGCATCTAAGGCCCGTATGCACGTACATCCCCGCGGGGAGGGGATGTGCGCTTAACCATTGAAATGATCCCCGCTGGGGATCCCCTCCCCTCCCCGCGCGAACCCCCTTATGCATAAAGACAATATCGGACAAGGGATCCCCCGTGGGGAATGGAAGTGAACCCTCTTATGCACAAGAGGGGATGCGGGGAAATCACCTTGCTTTCAAATTTTCTATGAAAAACACTTTCTTATTTCATATTTTGACTGCAACTCATCTTCATCTCCTCACTTTCATTAATTTAGGGTTGCGGAATGCGCGTATGCAGTGACTGGGCTCGGGGCACTAAAAATGATTTTTTGTACTCCCATTATGTTCCTGCTTTCTTGGATGCTGCCCACTTTCGCTCATGCTGCTCCATTTCAGCGTAAAAATGTTGAACTATAGAAGTTGATGTGTCTCTGCAAGGGAATGGGTAGAAGACGTTATGCCGCCGAGAAGGGGGGGGGGGGGGTGCCGCGCGGACGCTCAAAGCAGTATTCTAACACATAACAGAAGCTGCAAATTGTGCCAGCTCTCCATAAACGCTGTAGCTATCAGCTGCATATCGTCCTTTATTCCAGGGGAATGATCCCCAGCGATCCCTGCTATGCACAAGGGGAACGCTGGGGAGGGGATCACTCCCCAGGGGATTTCTACTCAGAAATAGGCAAATATGCTACTTTCTAGATTTTTTCGAGGCAGCTTATGTTAAAATAACAAGATAATGGCAACATGTCATGAATGAAAGTTACAATGTGTTTACTCAGCCTATATAGTTAAAACTATTATGTCATATGAAAAATGCGCAAATTTCCTGAATGATCAAGAACTCCTACAAATAATCGAAATTGGCAGCTATTGTTGCTCGGATTTCTTCTTAAGAGGCGAATATAGAAAAGAAAGAAAAATTGCAAGCCACAGGTCGCTGAGAGAAGAACCCGGCCTTCAAAGAAAATCCTCCATCAAAATGAACGAAATGCTTGGTAATGACTGAGCAGAACCAGAATATCCGCGTCTCTGGCATGATCTACACCATCGAACCCCTACTTCGTTGCAGGGGATGCAGATCCCCTCCCCCGCGTTATTGAGTTGAATTCGCGCATACGGGGTTCGAGTGGGGGAAGGGAAGGGATCCCCTCCCCCATTCCAACCCCGTATGCACTGGGGTTCGCTCGATCAATACCTCTGAAACCATTCACACCATCCCCGCTTAGGTGTAGGGGAGGGGATCGCTCCCCTCCCCTCTGTCATGGCGGGGTTCGGCGGAGGGGATCGTTCCCCTGGGAATCCAGCTCCCCTCCCCTCCCCAGCGGGGACGTACGTGCATACGGGCCTAAAAGTATTTTTATTGCGCACGGTACGCATAATTACTGAAAGTACGGTTTTCCCTTCGAAATCGAAGCAAAGAATTGCGACGACGCATGCGCCATAGTTTTTTGCAACTCTTGTTCGATTTGTCCTCATATCTTCTAAACAGATATCGGCGGCAAAGCCCTACAGGGTCATTTAAAAAGTAGGAGCTTAGGCCTTTGAGTTGATAATCTTAGACTAAAAAGAAATTTCTTGTAAAGGTCAAAAAGATCATTCAAAGCAGCGTGCTGCACCATGTGCAATATGGTAGTTCAACCGTACTAGAGTTTCACTCTGCTTCTCTCTTCATTACTTCAGAATCTGGGCCTGATCGACATCTTGAAGGCAGCAATTAGACAAATCTGTGCCAATAGCTTCTTAATATGGAATACTCAAAGCGCCGCCCATGCTGCTACGTAAATGCCTTATTCGAAGATTATCCCAAAGCATTAACTTCATTAACTTGTATCTTCTTCGACTAGCTTCTTGGAGACATCCGAAAACGAGCCCGCTTACCTATGCGGCTCACAGTAAACCGCAAGCTTCCTATTTATTTTCAACGACTTTGACTCAGGAATGGAGATCATATCCCTCTGCAAATTTCTGCTACAAAAAACCCAGTCTTAGCAAACCTCTTATAAAAGGAATGTGGCAATCTTATATATAAAGCTGAATGTCTGTCTGTCTGTCTGTCTGTATGTCTGTCTGTCTGTACGTATGTGCGGAATAGAAATTTTTATTTCTGAACCGATTTGGACCAAACTTGGCACACATATACTTCGGGGCAGGGAGCGTGTCATAGGCTACTTTTCGTTATCGATCGATATCGATTTTATTGATTTTTTGCAAAATTCGAGCTAGAGGGCTGGGATTTGGCAGAGGGGGGTAATCGAGCATGCTGATCACCCCGAAGGGGGTGATCAGCATGCTCGATTACCCCCCTGTGCAAAATCCTAGCCCCCTAGCCCAAATTTTGCAAAAAATCGGTAAAATCGACATCGATCGATAACGAAAAGTGGACTGTGACAAGCTCCGTGCCCCGAAGTGTATGTGTGCAAAGTTCGGTCCCAATTCTATTCGGAACATACGTACACGGGTCTAGCTGGCAGGCCCGGCGGAGCCGGGCAAGCCAGCTAGTTACTCTATAATGGAGAGAGACCGGTACTCTGTTATGCAAAATCGCTCATATTTTGTCAAAAAAGTCACCGAAGTCCACCGGAGTTTACCGAAATCAGCACAGCGTCGCATCGCTGTATCTTTGTCCAAAGTGGACAATGCTGAATTCAAGGGCACCGTTCAACTTATCTCAACGAGGTGCATCTTCTGATAAATGGAAGTGCGCTTGGACGTGGTAGAGCGCTCAGAATTCACAAAATATTTTATATTTTGGCTTACGGTAGAATTAATGCATTTATCTTTGACGCTGATTCCCACCGCAAAAATTCGATAGGATTTGCGAAACTTGACCTCCTACCGTATCCAAACGGGCACTTATATAAATCTGATGATGAGCACCATCGAGCTGAGTCGAACGGTGCCCTTGGATTCACAATTCATCTACATCTGAACCAAGATATGACGATGCGACGCGGGCTTCGGTAGACTTCGCTAGAGTTTGGCAACTTTGCTGACGAATTATGAGCGAATTCTAATGACTGCTTTGTCGAATGGCATCTTGGGAGCCGCAAAAGACAGAAATGCGAAAGATCAACAATCAGTCAGGGGGTAGATTGTACACCCTGTATGTACGCTGGATCGCACATCCGAGCTTTCCCTCAAGTACTAACGTTTTGCGGAAATCGCAACTTCATTTGGAACGCGCCCTCATTAAGGATCGATGGGACACGACACAGCTGCACTTTACTTCTCCGCATGCTTCTTTTTCATCGTCTGGTAAATTGGCATAGCTGCCAACACTTAATTTCTGTGCTGAAATCTTGTTGAACAATACATAATTAATTACCTTGGGTGTATGATGCGATGCGCTACATGATCAAAGCAGAATTCCGAAGGAAGGAAAAGTTTACTTACGAGAAATGCGTTTTTGGTCAAAGTGGCCTTTTCATCTGAGTTTCATACCATTTTTTAGAGAATCAGACGCTAATTTCAAGTCTGTCCTTGGTATCTGCTCCTCTGGACGCCAAGTTATGAGGGTTTTTTGGATGGGTGAATGAACGCACAATCTCGATAAAATCAGTCAATACGGTCTCTTGAGATAAAGCAGTGGCTAGTGTGAATCAGAACTCCGTACGAGGTGCTCTGGCATTGGAAAAGAAGTCCTCACTGACTTCGCAACAAAAACACGACATCCCCTACGACATGCTTATGTAGGGAGTATGTATATAAACGATTCATGTTACAACAGCGAAAGATTTTATACAGAAGTTTCGTTTGTCAGGCAGAGGGGTGTCGAAATTTTTTAAGTTGATGGGCGTAGTCGGCAATTTCCTCGAAGCTTTTTTACTCGGTTAACATCGTATAAAAATCCGATAATAGATTGCCCTGCGTTATGGGAAGGTTTGCTGAACTCTCTTTTTCACTTTTGAGGTTCCAATTTTGCACGAAAAGATTGTTTTTTTTCCTAAACATCATACTAAACTCATGTATGCTTTTTACGGGCCCCGCTTCGGATTTCGCTAGAACGATACCCACTTTGCTTTTTACCTCTAAACGATATCCGACCTGCTTCGTAAGCCACCTGTCCCAAGAGATATTGGTTGAAAAGAGTCCCAATACCCAACACTGACCCATCTAAGCCGTTTTGAATGATTCTCCTTTGGTTAGCGTTTATTTTTTCCAACTCAAAAAACGTTCACAACTCGGCGTCCACAGGCGCACAGCAAATGCCGAAGCCAGCTTCGAAATTAGCGTTTAATGCTCGTCAAGAATATACGAATTTCATATGCAAAGGCCACTTTGAATGCGTATGCTGTCGTTAATATGCTTTCGCTTGAAGACCCGTCATACTTCGCTGAAAAAAGCCCAAAAGCGCCTAAAAAAGCCCCAAAAAGTCCAAAAAGTCCGACGAAGCCCAAGAAAGCCCAAAAGCGCCAGGAAGAGCCGAAACGCTCCTCGAATTTTTGTAGAATTTCGACAACATTGTGATGTGCAGACGACAGAAAATGAAGCAAAGCTCGGTTGCGAAATCAACACACATGCCTTAGAGCCAAAACGTTCTAACGCTTTTGGGCTTTTTTGGCTTTTTCTGGCCTTTTTGGACTTTTTCGGCCCTTTTTGGGCTTTTTAGGCTTTATTGGGCGCTTTTGGGCTTTTTTCGGCGAAGTATGACGTACCCCTTATTGACTTCGGTAACTGCAGTTCCGGCATTTTGTCTTCGCTCCTTTGCGGTAGAATATTAACTAACAGATATTTCAAGCAAAAAGCTACTCATGCAGTTTTTGTTGCCAAAGACCGATCCTGCATATCGTGGCGCTGTCGTTCCTCTTACCCATGGTTTCAGCTATTTTTGCGCCAATCCCTTGCTTTCACCACTGCTTCCCACGGCCAAAAAATGGCTGTGCATGCATTTCAAACCAGGTCAGCTGCCACGCTAGGAGGCGCAGATATCGAGACAACCTTCTGGAGAAAGCGAAAAATGCGGAGGATCCAAAGAAGCAAATGAGAAGAGTTTGCGAACCGGTTTAAGGTCACCTCTACAAGATCGAAAGGATTGTGACAAGCGTCGGCTTACGGTACCAACGTTGTGACGGCCTTTTACTGAAATTTTGATGGATCACGACCAGATAAGCGAGCAAAAACGATTAATTTAGCGGATAGCAAAGTGAACTTTCGTGTAATGTTAGTGAATTAATTGAAGCTATTGCTTTGGCACACAGTTCTCAAACAGGTGCTTGTTTAGTAGTCAGGCTGATATGTAAGCTCATAAGCGAGACTACAGCTAATCACGTCAACCTCACTTTCTAGAATTTCTTCCCTGTACCAGCAGAATAAAAAAGCGATTGGTAACACGATTTCAGTGAGGAAAGGAAGACATTGCTTCCTCGCTTAGCATAACCACCATGTTAGTTTTAGATGAGTCATTATATTCGTTTATAAAACGATGCTCAACATTTTTTCTTGGAATTGCCATATAGTCGATAGGGTGCCGAAACTATTGACGCGTGTATTTCTAGGTGTCAAACAAGCATGAAACCGGCTCAGAAAGTAATCAAGCTTGGTTTTGTTTTCTTGATTTACACCGTCGTAATTTGGTTGAAAGGCGTGAATTTGCATGCATTTTTCGCAAATAATAAAAAAATTTTTCCGACGATTGCGTGATGTACACGGGCAGGGTCCACGTTGCCTACTATTTATCTTACGAAAAACGATCCTCAGAAGGAGTTTGTGCAGTGAAATGAATCATCAATTTGAAAATCAACTAAGTAGTGGAGTGTTTGAGAGATTTCAAAACAAAACGTCTAATTAGTCGCATAAACATGCCTTAAATGTTATTTCTATACATCCCTAAGAAGAGCCATTTTGGTACCTCACTGCTTCTCACAAAGTATGCTCATAGCATTCCGTGACAAGATTATGAGGTTTAATTACTATTATTATTTGCCAGTTGTACCGTAACTTTGCTTCAAACATTGCACGCATTTCTCGCATACCCTATAAAACTATCGAGCTATCAAGAGCTGGTTGAAGTTTCTTGCGCATCAGTTTAACGGCAGATATTACTCATTCCGGGCCCAAACTTATATGGTATGTAACTGATTTAGAAGAAAGGAGGGCAAAGGTAACTTGCTATAGTATTTTGTTTTCGAGCAGAACGAATAGGCAATGGACCTCAGCGGATTCGGGGATCATTTCTTAATTTTTTTTAATCCTGTTAAGACGCACCCTCAGCTCAGTACAAATCTCAAAAACTATTTTCGTATCTAAATATTGCTGCTGGAGTTCCTACCGGTAGCATATCTTATCATAGACTATGTAGCACCCATGACAATTTCCCTAAATTTGGTGCTGGACTTAGGGCCCCAACACTTAAATAGCGTTGGGGCTGAAATCTATGAAAATTCAAACTCACTGATGTCAAACTGCTGGGTGTGGGAATTGTCAGGCATCGGAAGACCGTTCCATGGCGAGTTCAGATCTAGCTGGTCCACGGGAAAGTCAGGTCGGAACCTGATGGGAACCGAGTTAGAATTCTCGTAATTTTTCATGTTTCTACTCTGCTAGGCTCTGATGCCTTAGCCACATGTCAGATTTTTTGCCCATAATTTGAGGGAGCAGTTTATATTTCCTTCTCCCCTACATAAAGCACTGCTCGATGCTGTGCTAGGCGACAACGAGGAGAATGATCGATCGACACAGCGGCGCCGACATAGCTGCGCTTCGAGAAATTTCCTTCTACATCTCGCAAAAAAAGTTCATCAGAGAGGGATTACTTATAAAGGAATTATAATTTGATGTGGACTTGGTAACCATTACGGAACTTCGTCCGCGCAGAAAACTCGAGAAAAGTCCTTTTTCACAGCATAGCTAATGTTTTTCTAGAGGTTTTTAATTTAGACCGACGAACCAGCTTTTTTCCTTGAAACCAAAGGTGAAAATGCTTTTTCTCCGTGGGAACATTTTTTTTGGATCGACGTCTCAAAGCCGAAAAACATAATGGCTTACAAAAACCGGCAATCATTCCACGCGGCTTGGAAACGTACGGCTTGGTCTCACGCTTCAAGAAAAGTGATTTTTGTTTGGAAAAAGACATAAAACATGACAAAAAAGGGTAAAGCAACCCTATGCGAGCGCAAACAAGTTTCCTCATTTACAGCGCGGGTAGAATTTTGGCTTGCTAGATAGCTCAGGCAAAAGATATCCATCCAAAACATTCAAAGTCAGTCGAGAAAAAGAAGTGATAACTTTGATCCGTTCTCAAATATAGTAATAGCTAGCCATAATTTTTGGTTGTGACAAGTTTTCTGATTTTTGGGCTTACGGAACAAAAAGTGCAGGATTTTCGGCAAAACTCAAAAAGCGCTTATTCGTTATCATCCGAATTGGAATCTAAGCTGAACCACTATAGCCAATCTCAATTTCCATTTTCCCTGATATTACGCAGATTTGGAAGTGGCTAAACCAGCACAAAAGATAGCCTTGCATCAAACATTGCGCTGGCTCGGGATGGAAAAGTTACTTTAAATTAAAGTCAACTGTGAACACTGAACATTTCAAAGCAAGCAACTGTCGGTTATAAGCTACTTACTCGTTCCCAACCCCTGTACAATCCTCCTCAATTCGAGGCTCATAAATAAGGCATCTCTCGCCGAGATGATAAAAAAACTTCAACAATTTCCTACCCTCCAAGTGGATTTGCTCGCGTTCGATCCGCATGTTTCGTCATGTGTTTTTGTAGATAGGTGGCCTGCGTGTACGATTTTCCACAGAATGGACAGATGTGCACCTAATTGTGGAACTAGATCCATTAACGTGTAATGATCGATTATGGATTGAGACCTTGAATTACTACACGTTGAATCCGACACTTACCTTCAGATGTTTCGATTCTTTATGCTTTGGTATGTGTTCCAATAAGCTTTGCTCATCCGAAAAACATTTGTAGCAACTGAAACAACGAATCGGTTATCTGCGTAAAGTCCCCCGCTTCGGCACACCATTTCCCCCGACGGCCGCCCCGCTCAGCGCTCGATCGCCCGCACGCTCACACCTCTTCACTCACACACACAGCGGCGAAACGCCTCGACAAACATCATTGGACACTTTTTAGGCGTCCAAAATGGCCCGGCTACAGCATCACATATCACTCGGTGTCTGTATAAACTTTGCGGCTTATTTTAGTGCTTCGAAGTCTCGTTCCAGGGACTAACAAGTCATGCTAAACTTCAAGCGAAAACGATTAGTCACAGAAAGCCTTTATCTAAATCAATCAATCAACAAGAATGAACTGATTGTGACAATAAAACTGTCACATATCACGATTGCGGATGAGTATTGATTGACACGAAGCTAAATTAAAACGCCATGCAGAAAGCCACTTTTCCGAGTTTGTAGAGTTGATGCCCTAATCAAAAAGACATCCTATTCACTGCATTTTTATTGCGCGGTACACGCACACCATATCGTGCAAAACAAAGCTTCCGTTGAAATGCTGGGACAGTTAAAACTAACGCTTCGTTTCCCTTGGCTTCCTTTTAAGAAAAAAGGTAACTAGTTGGCATACCCGGCTCCGCCCGGCCCTGTCAATACAAACAGTTGTTATATTTAATCAGCACGTTCACTTACTCCCCTGTGCCAACTCCCAGCTTCGTAGCTTGAAATGTACAAAAAAATTAATGAAATCGATAGCACACGCGCTCCCGCCGCGAAGTATACGTGTGCCAAGTTTGGGTACTGCTTCAGAAAGAAATTTCCTATTCGCACATGATTACGTACATACAGACACACAGACATTCAATTTTATATATAGAATTTATCAACCGCACGGACTGGCTGTGTTTTGCCCGAGCACGAGTTGTACAATGGCGGTTTGCACCGGAGCAAGTATTCCACCGCGCGTCACGTGCTCCGCAGTTGCGGCCAGTTCGGGCGGCTGACATTACCTATAAATCAAAAGTAGAAAAGTCATGCATCATTGAATGTTTTTCGGGCCCATGCTCGGCCCTGGGGCGATCTACTGCAATAGGCTACTTCGCACGTTTTTACACATTCGATCACATCCAATCTTAAAATACTTCATTTCTCAGCGCCTGCAATGGAACCTTTACTGTTATGATTAAGCTGTTCCTAGCCTAAACCGCTCTCACTTCTAGGATCCTCCAAATCCAGGCACTACATTTATTATGACCCTTTAGGATAGAGCAATTTCAAGTTTAGCGCACTATCAACCAAAAAGAAGTGGTGTTTCTTCCAATGGAAGAGATTGTCTCACATTTGTCACAGCAGAGATAGTGCACTGTCTAAGACTTAGATAGAGCACTTCTTTTCCCCTGAGACAATCTTTTGAAAATGTAACATTTTGCATTTGACAACACCTTATCATAACCATGGCAGTTATTAGTTGTTATGAATCAGAAACTGTAAAATCAATAAAGCTTTGTGACATTGGACAAACTTTTTCAACGTCGACTCCCATAAAAATCAAATGGCTTATAAGTGAGTCATATCGTACTGAAACCGGGGTGTTGCGGAGTAACAAGGACTAAGAAACTTCTAACATACTCGGTCTTTCGTAAATTCAAGCTTGGAGGACTTCTAGCTTGTAAACTTGATAAACTTGGCTTGTGCACGAGAATAATATATTTCTCAGATAATTTTGTGCTAGTGCGCTGTATTTAGCCTTACCCAGCTGCAAAAATCAAGTTAAGCAGGATGAGTGGGATCACAAGTTTCGCCTAATTTATGAAAGAGTATCTAGCGACAGAGCATACTTGCAGCCTGTAGATTTGCAGTTTTTGTCCATGCGTATCATCCACATTTCTGATAGAATGTTACAGAATTTATAAGATTGCAGAAAAGTCGACATGCTTGATCCAATCGACATCCAGCATCCATCAGTTTTTATCAATTTCACGGTAGAGTGTGCTCCGTCATTAAGTAATCACCGCCAGGAAGATTATGCTACTTTCAAAGTCTGTAAGGAATGGTCACTTTCAACTTTTGTACGTACTTTAACAGACAGTGGATGAAAGTGATTCCCACCTTCACAACACGTTCTGCTTATGCCATGAGCACGATTAAATTAGCTTTCTAGCAGTTGCGTACCGAGGCCCCCACCCCAAGAATGGGTCGCGGGAAAGGGGAAGTTACTTACATGACTTCAAAAAATGTTCAAATGACTTTTTATACTTGTAAATATTCAAAATTTTCTGAAAATACAATTAAACCTTATAAAAAATTTTGACTCCCTTTTCTAAAATTTCCGGTTCCGGGTTCGCAAAAATTTTGGAAAACATCCCAAAAAATTTTTGTATCCCCCTCTTCTAGAAATCCGCGGAACGCCATTGTTTCCTAGCAAGTTGCTTCAGATTGAAATATCCAAAAGGTTAAGCTGCGGTATGCTGGCACTTCAAGTCTGCCCGACAAAGTAATTTCTTTATTTAGACCTGGGCCTGTGGAGCGAAAATTGGCCACAGTCGTCTTAACATTCCGCTTCAGTAAAGTTTTGCGAATTCGTGATTTATCAAAAACTGTCAAGCGCTTTATAAAGCTTTGTAGCCTGCTGCGCAATCGGAAGCAGCAGTCGTCCGCTTTAAAGGGTTTTTGAGCCTGCAATTTCTATTACTGCACAAGGAGTGGGAGAAAGCTCTTTTATGGCGTGAAATGAGGGTAAAAATATGACAAATGCAAAACTGTCTCTGAAAATGTTTTAAGCTTTGCACTTTGAATCAGATTAATCAGCCATACCAGGGTACCGCTCATAAAACGTCAAAACATCACCAAGCTCCACTGGCATCAACCGAAATTTGCGACGCATCTCCGCATCTTAGTTCATCCAAATTTAAATGCACCGTTCAACTCAGCTAGGCGAGGCGCATCTTCTTGTGTGTAAAAGTGCTCGCTTGGACAATAAGCGGTCAGACTTCATAGTTTTTCACGTAAGTAATTAAGTGTGCAATGAATGAGCACAATGAGTGACCTACCGTAAGCAAAAACCTAAAAGAGTTATCCAGATCTGGCTGCACCTACCATATTCAACCAGGTACATCTGTATATTAAAAAATGCGCCTCGAGCTGAGTCGAACGGTGCCCGAATTCATCCACTTTAAATGAAGATATGGCGACGCAGCAGAAGGTGATCTTCGGTGGAGGGTGACTTTTTTGACGATTTATAAACGATATTGTATGTACCCTCTCCGCTGCATTCGAAATGAGTGTAAAAAGAAACCAGGTCTGATAGCCGCAATAATAAACAGATTGAAGCCATAGGGATTGGCATTCTATCCAATGCCTGACTTTTGTAGTCGCTGATCAAAAAAGTGTAAAGGAAAATCTATTCACTTCTACAGCTGAAAACTTGAATTCAATTCAGATTTTCCGCTGATTCCAACAGCAGATCAGAAAGCACAAATCAAAAGTGAAGTGTGGAGAGAAAAGCAAGTTGGGCAAAAAAGGCCCTGTCCATGTCAACCACGCTCCTCTCTATCCTCAGCGTATCTCCCCCAGAATCGAAGCATTCAGTCCTCTCAACCGCCCAATTATATCCATTGTTTCTGAGATGGGTGCTAAAGATTTTATTTATAATCTCAATTGCCTCACGCCTCATCACTTTCCAAAAACCGTTCGAACAATGAAGAATGAACCATGTGTAAGCACGCAGCACTAACCTATTGCACTTGAACGGCTTGTCCGTCTGATGGCATCTGGAGTGTGATTGTAGGTTGCTGAGTTGTGAGAAGGCTTTTTCACAACCAGTGTATTTGCATTTGTAAGGTTTCTCGCCAGTATGTGTCCGTATATGCTGTTGTAGATGTGATAGTTGTGTGAACTGAAAGAGAGAATATTGGAAGAAAATAGGCTTTAACGAACAAAGAGCAAACGTTTTTAGCATCCGATGTTGCACTTTTTTCGTGCAAACATTACGGTCATGAGCTTTTTATCGCTATGTTTTTTCGCTACTAGAGGCTAGCCGACTGGTGGTGGAAGGATAAAAACCCTAGGGCAAAAACGCGCTCTATTTGTCTTGTTAAGGCAAAAAAGTCGTTCTCTGTTTGCATTGGAATCTGCCTAATCCTACAGAAATCGCCACTTTGAGCCCAATGTCGCAAGAGCCGATAAATCAGAAAGGCTTAAATGAATAAATGACGCAAGAAAGTGAGAAAAGAGAAGCTTATAAGCAAAGCCGCCCTCTGCTTTATACTGCAAGAAAACGCGCATACGAAGCTTTTCCTTAAATCCGTGGAGGTCCCCACGACGGAAAGGTAATGATTCTCCTTTTATAGACACATTCTAATAAGGGCAGTTGGTCGCCTCCTTACGGCTATGGCTCATCTAGGAACTCCAAGCTTTCGAACAACTTCCTCAAACTTCTCGTCCACGGTTGCAAAAGCTGATAGCGTTTGCAAGGCAGCTGTCGGTCGACAAGACAAGGAGGGAAGGATAAGAGAAAAAACCTAACAGTCCCTTTTTATCTGCTCGGCGTTGATGTTGCAAAACGTGCGCTTTTTCGCTTCGCTCTCCTTGGTCGACCCCTCGTTTTTCATCGACGAAGGCTCGTTGCCGAACGCCTGTTCGCCGACCCGAATTCTTTCGCTTTTCGCCAACCCTACGCGTTTTTACACAGTATACCGTACGCAAAAACGCAATAAAAACCGAACGAAAAAGACCTTGGAAAGCGGCGAAAAAACGTTGACGAAACGTGAAAAAATGCACGTCCGAGGCTACATATGCCAGAGGTGGCATAGCTGAAGGTCATGCACTTGTTTCAATGGTTCATAGAGCACAAATTTTACTGCTAGAACATGCCTATGAATGATTAACGGTCAATTCTATACTACAACCTCAAAAGCTAGTTATTCTTCGTGAGGTAGTAAATGTGCTCAAAAAGATTCGTAGAAAAAAATGCGGTAGTTGTATGAAGTTATGTTCGTTCGCTTTCTGAAAAGCCCTTTTTTCAAATAACTTATATCAATTGGTCTGTCTATTGCATTAGGATGATTAATATTAAAACGTATGCACTAATTTTTACATATGAGAGAAATTCACCAAATTGCGACAGTTTACTCTAGCTTAGGCAATTTCTCCAAGGTCATAAATCGTTAAGGCTCATTGCTTTTGAGTCAAAGATGTTTCAATGCGCCCTCATCTGATTTGATAGGGTCCCGCTTAGAGAATGGAAACACATTTCAATGTTTTTTGAGCACAAAAGAAATCAACAAGAAAGAAGCGATATTAGAGCGAAAAAGAAAGCTCGAAAGGTTTTCCACTTTGCATTTTAGGTTTGAATGAAAATTCGCAATTTCCGCATGTAGATATTTATCGAAAGAAGGAGCTTCCACCTCAAATTTTGCTAATAACCTCCGCTAAGAGGCCGCTAATCATCCCGCCTAATTGCCTCACAAACACTTGTTACCAGCTGTGTAGCGAGCGCAATTGGTTACGCCTCTTTTTTAGCTATGCGCTATTGGCGACAAAGTTACGGTGGTGTTGCATTTATCGTTACTCCGGGAGAGAATACGTTTAAAAAAATATGAACCTCAGTTAAGAATGATACGTATATTGATTTAGAGCTCAATATTTGTACTATTTCATCATTATCGCTTCGGGAAAGAAATGGTGTAAAGATATTGAGCTTTTTCTAAAGTTTATTTGATCAAACAAATAGTGTTCATTGGCTTTCGAGCAATCAATGTTGGGTAACATCTCTCCAACAGCACTGATTACATGGCCACATATGACTAGCTCAATCCGTACAAAGCGCGTATGCGCAATCTATACTCTCTCATTTATGATGAATCATATGTTTGGCGAAGGGAAGGAAGTACCACGATTAATGATGGTGTGACGTTGGTCACACACATTTACTTCCAAGCCCTTAGACCTCACCAAAATCATCGTTGATGTTTCACACGTTTTTAGACAACTTTCCATTCCACTAGTGTGCTGAGACAAGTACAATAGTACTTTTCCTACTGTAGGCAACAACCAATCGCAGAGCCCCGTCGCTGGCTAAACAAGAGCGAGCAACTTTCGTGCACTAGAAGATTTGTGAGAATTGTATTTTGGACGCAAAATAGTGAAGCTTGCAAACACAGCTTTTCAAAACAGAGCATTAACGTTATAAATAATACAGGAGCCTTGAATAGAATTGGTATATGCTCACTAGAATAGTTATGATCACATAAGAAGATAACATTATCCAGATCCTTAAAAAAATTGCTACCTTTTCTCATCTTATCATATAGAGAAGTTGATGGTAATATATAGAGCCAGAGAGCTTTATCAATCTTGCACTCTCAGGTCAGCGCTCGTTTTTCAAAAATTTTTTGCCCGAAAAGAACTCGAAAAATCGCCGGAAAGTCTATGTTGGGCTTGTTGCACTTTGCAATTCTCCTTTTTGGCTGTTTTCCCACCGCTTTTTCGTGGCGTCCACTAAAAAGCCCCATAAAAAGCTCAGTGCGAGTGCGCTAAGCAAGAACACCGTACATAGAGAAATTTTTGTTCAAAGTTCAGCTTACCTTTTTGCCGCAGTATTGACATGGTCCAAATGGTTTTATACCGAGATGAATTCGCATGTGCTGAGAGAGGTAGGACGAGTTGGCGAAGCTCTTCACGCACTGTGTGCATTTATACGGCTTCGCCTCGCGCATCTGCATCTGCGACTGCAGCTGACCAACGTCCGGCTTTGATTCAAACTAAAATATCTTTTTCTGAATATACCAAGCAAGATCTCTGGATATAGCAGAAGAATCAGAGAGTGCAGAAGTTAAACTGGAAAAACTTGAATTGGCCTATAAATAAGCTGAAAAAAAGCTTCCGATCTTGAAGTCACATAACTCAAGAGTAAATGTAAAGCATGACTGCACAATCGCCACTGCTGATATACTACCTAGCTCGAAAGAAGCATTTCGCGACGTTGGCAAGGAAGAAAAAACATAGCAACGGTAAAAAAACTTGATTTTTTCATCTCCAAAGCTACAACTATGCACGTTAAGCAGCTATCCCATTTACATCAAGCAATGATCTCAGTCGCCGCTAAACCATTACGGCTTAGTTTTGTTAGCTGCAAGAATACCTCAACTTTCAATGTCGTTTTTACTGAAATTAATAATGAAAAAAATGGTCGTTAACTGACTGGCACAGGCTTGGGGCAGAACCTGGTCAACTATCTGTTTTTGATGAGGCAGAGAAAAACCTGCTAGATTTCCAAAAAGACAATTAGAGAAAAACTCACGAAGAACCCCTGAACCTGCCAAAAACTCCTTTTTTCAATCCAAAGCCACAAAGAAATGGCAGAGATAGCGAGGATGAGCTTGCCTGATAAGGCGTAAGCTTCGCTCCTCTAGCCTATCCAAACTACAAAACCTGCCTAAAATGTTCTGTCCTTATACGAATTCAAGAGCTTTCACCAGAGCAAAACCTTCGCTGTGAGCTGATATTCAGTTGTTTTGCACTTGCCCACCCGTTTCTTTTCGTGGCTGAAAAAACGACAGTAAAAAGAACGCTTGCTGAAAGCGACACTATCCGGAAAGGACATATTTCATAAACTGCCACATGCGGCTACGATGCCGCTGTCGGGACAACCCTCGCTTTGCTGAGCCTTCCAATAAGCACGAGATTGTTCTTGTGATGTAGGAATAACCGCTAAGCGCCTTTCTATTTTCCTGCCATTTATAGCCTGCGTAGGGCCTCGAATGTTTAGAGTGTGCTTACAAGTGATGAAGCGCTGTAATGATCACCGTCCATCTCTCCTATAAAAAGCAAAGCAAATGACTCGCCTTGTGCCTCATTTGCAACATAAAATGATTTCGCAACAATAAAACCGCCAATGCCGTTATTTTCTTGCCGCGACCCAATAATTTTCATTTATTGCAGCAGCCACCATGGGCGTGAATTATGTAAACGCCGGTCCGGAAAAACACAAAAGAAGTGCCAGAGCTTCTCTAAGTGCGGTGATTGTATTGCCACATAAGCAATCACGAATTTCGTTTTTGTCAAGCCCGGAGTGATTTTTCTACACATGTGCGGAGTTCGTGGCTAGACCTTGTGATCCACGTAGCCGGTATGGTCACCGCTATGCCTAGGAAAACGGAAGCAAGCATCGATCGAGTGACTCCCAAGAGACACAGACGAAAGTAAACGGTAGAAGTTTCAGATGAACGACGCAGAAAGAAGGCCAAACACACGCATAAGAACGCGCCTCAACGACGATAGGTGGTAGAGAAGACGGGGGGCGTGGCGCGTCCAAGGCGCTCTCTTCGGTAGGGGAGCACTTGGTTGGCGCTGGCTGGACGGCCGAACGGACACACACCACACACACAAACACGCACACTCACGGCTGGCTTGATCGGACTGATATTACGGTAACCGGCAACCCCACACATTCACTTCGTTGGAGCAGTTTCGACTTTTGAGAACATTGAGCTTTTATCAGCAGCTTACGCTCTATTTTAAAAACCAGGTGCTGTGACAAAACCATATCAGAGGATTCCCTATTTGCAGCCTCACCTATAAATTTTAGTCCATCGAGTAACCCTAAGCAGTACTCTAAGAAACTGATGGTTAGTAGCGTAGTGCGGAAAAGCTCGGCTAAGGGAAAAGAAAGGCAACAATTCATTGCGTTATGCAAGAAACTAGTCGTTGCTAATCGACAGACCAGCAAAAGCATACGAATTAATCTGGCGAGAAGTGAGTTAAGAAGTGTCACAGTCTGAGCAGATAGCATAGATAGCCAAGAATGACTAAAATTCAACAGAAATAGGCAGTGCTTTTTTTCGCTTTTTTTCATTGAAAAATAAATTTTTTATCAGAGCACACTTTTTATTCGGAAGTCATAGATCTCTGAACTACGCGTGGTTGATCTAAAGGTTTTTCCACAGCTGAAAAAACGGCGAGAAAAATGGCTATTCCAGAAACAATCTGGAAAAACTGGCGCGGCAAGTCGGAACCTATTGCGACCGCCCAAATGGCTCCCTGAAAAACGCAGCTAGCTAGGCAGTCAAGTCAGTTTGCGGAGAAAGTGTGAAAAGTTCTGAAAAAATTTCAAACGTCGTGATTACGAATACGTGATGCGAACGTCGGTGGCACGAACGACACGAAACTTCGCGGCTGGACTACTACTGAACGACGCACACACACACTCGCACGTTTCGATTATATGCTGTTAGTGCAGCCGTCGTCGCTGCCGCCGCGCCGTGCCAACGCTACCGTAATCCGCCCCTTGCCGAGGCTGCATGTGAATTTCTGTGCTACGCACTCGATGTCATCGTCGCCATCGTCGTTGCCGTCGTCGCTGTCGCACTCGATTCACAAAATTCGTCGAGCGAAAATAATCGATACTGCGACGAAACTAGATATCGCGCGGAGCGCGTTTTTTTCTATCTGGGAAAATCGATTCCAGCACTCAGTGACTGGGCGGTCGGCTGGTTGAAATCGACAAAAAGCCTAATGGTTGTTGGCGATGAGGGAAAAAGCGGGCGGTCGCGCGATGGATATAGATCACCTTTTGGGTGCATTCAGAAGTCAGAGGAGGGCTCGTCAATTTCAAAGGAGAAAAAACGCTGAATCCAGAACAGTCTCTCAGGGAAGGCGAGTTACAGCTCGGCAGGCTAATCGAGGCTTCGCAGCAATGTTTCATAAATTGCACGCACTCAGCACATACACACATTCACCTCACACACAACACACACAAAGAGCGAGAGAGGCAACGTCGGCTGGCATACTGTAGCCGATAGCGGCGGCTGTGCACGACAACGGCGGCGGCGAGGGCCGCTACGAGCAACGAACACTCAGTCGGGGCGCCTTACACGCAGCACCAACGGCCCTGTCGGCCATCCAACCACCATCACTACGTCCCGTATACGCGATAAAGAAACCGGTTTTTCCCCCGCAAAATAGTGAGGAATCAACTGTAGGAAAGCTTCCGATCAATACGTATCAAACACATAAAACTATGGTACATGGATGCATTTCGGACTATCGAAGCTACATGTTTCTACCAATGTCTGCTCACAATTTTTAAGTACCTCGATAGAACCAAGGCTCGATAATGAAAATGGGTGATTTAACACATGTCGCTGTTTTTGTATGGGAGTAAATGAGCACTGCGTCTTACCAGTGTGATGATCGCAACGTGGGGAAAGACGCAAACGAAAAAAATGATGTATTGCATGAAGTCCAAAAGAAAAAACAAAACTTCCTCAAATGCGATCATCAAGCCATTCGGTGGGGTGAAGTAGTTGCTTACCTAACATGCCTAAACTCACAGAGAGCAAAATCACAAAGATAAGTGAAAAAGTAAACTATGCTTACGGCAAATAAATTTATATTGAACGCTCAATTTTTTGAGGTAGCGATGGAAGAAGAAATAAAGTGACCAAATTTGCAACAAAAACAAGCAGCAATCAGTAATGAGCAGATTGTGACGAAAACCCAAAATCTAACATTTGAATTTTTTTGAAACTAACAAGAACAAGTAAGATGGAATTTTCGAAGTAAATAAGGACTTTACAATTGCCGATGGGGAGTTTAACACTAAATTGCGATCAATCTGTGCGAATTTCAATGTTACATCCAATTCAACATGAACAGAGTGGATTAACTGTTTGTAGCAGGAATACGGCTATCGCTTGCGTTATAAAATTTCAGGGTTTTTTTTTCAAATTTCTGTGGTCCAAATATACACCCTATAAGACACAAAAAGATTATTGTGCGGTGAGAGAAAGAAAATTGAGCGCGATGAATGAATTCAACATGCGTGAGAAATATCAAAATATACGGCAAAAACCTGTGCAAGCATATACGAGAACCGAAAAGAATACTCGCAGAATTTATGTTATTGTGTCCATGAGATGAATCGGAAAATAGTGGAGCCCTGATCAATGGAAGCTATCGAAGTTGATTGAACTGGAAACTCAAAGTATGTGAAGCATGCAAAAAAGGTATGCACAGCGCCAACTCTCGATATCTTTCGTGTGATCAAACAATAATGCTAATTATTAATAGTTGAGCCAAAAACAAATTTATGAAGCAAAATTCAAGCTATTTATGAAGTGAAAAGTAAGTAAGTGAAAAAAGAAGGTGAGGGAGGGGAAGTATCTTTAAGCCATCTATACTCTGCAAACACAATGAAAATGACGAGGAAAGGCATAAATTGCTCGCGTATTTTATGCCAACGTGAGCAGACAGAATAGAAAATTATTTGTTGCGAAGGACTAGCAGCACTACGCTCATACACTACGCCGATGAATGCATTCAGAAAAAAGACTGTGCCTGGATCATTGAGCGGAAAAGTGCAGCCAATGGCGATACTGAAGGCTCATACTAAGATGTAGGAAGGGACCACAGCTAAGGTGAATTTGGAGAAAACCGAAAAAAAAATTATGTAAAAGCTGCGCCACAATCACGTGCGGATAGCGTCAATTAATCATGCAATGGAAAAAACAGAGATAGGTGAAATCATATCCCACATTAATGACTCAAATATTATAGCAAAACAAGACAACAACGATATCCAAAGATTTGCCCAAGAAATAAGGTAGTTAATTTCAGATGAACAAAGAGATCGAATATCAGCGATTCGAAAGAAAATGCTCTGGGATGTTTTCAGAAACCTCGAAAAAGGACTAAGCAAACATTATATGTGGCGCTGCCGCTGTATTCACAGTAGGAAACGCAATGAGAAGAAATTTGAGAA